TTATAGAAGAACTTTCTCAGGTCACTTACTGCTATGGTTCGAATGTTTGTCTCCTCCCAAATTCATGTTGAAATTTAATTGCTATTTTAACAGTATTAAGAGGTAAGACCTTTAAGAGGTGATTAGGTCATAAGGGCTTCATCCTCATGGGTGGAATGGATGCTATTGTAAAGGGGGCAAGTTTGGTGTCCGCTTGCTCTATTTTGGCCCTTCCTTTTTTTTTTCTTTTTTTGAGATAATCTTACTGTGTTGCTCTCAGTAGAGCACTGTGATATCACAGCTCACAGCAACCTCAAACTCTTGGGCTTCAGTGATTCTCTTGCCTCAGCCTCCCAAGTAGCTGGGACAATAGGTGCCCACCACAACACTCAGCTATTTTTTGGTTGTAGTTGTCATTGTTGTTTGGAAGGTCCAGGCCGGGTTTGAACCCATCAGCTCCAGTGTACGTGGCCGGTGCCCTAGCTGCTGAGCCTGTTTTTGGCCTTTCCACCTTCTACCACAGGAGGAGGATACAGTGTTTAAGATGCCATCTTTGAATCAATCACCAAACTTGCCTGCATCTGGATCTTGGACTTCTCAACCTCTAGAACCATGAGTCAAAAAATTTCTACCCAGTCTAACTTATACTTTTACAGTAGCACAAAATAGACTAAGATATTTAGAGCCTCCTTACTTTTACTTTTGAAATAATTAAGTTTGTGCTTCTCTGATTTCATATTCCACAGATTTGATGTAGCAGTGCAGCACAGAAATTAGGGGTTTGAATTATAGCAATGCTGCTGTCTGCTAATGATACACCTTGGGAAAGTTACTTAATCTTGCAATTTTCTCACCTGTAAAGTGGGTGTGCCTATGTCACAGAATTGTGTTGAAATTATAAGATAAGGACCATAAATCCTAGATCCTGGGGCATACTACATACATACTATCAGCATTGTGACGTGGAGGAGAGCTGCCAGAAGCAGGCGCTCTAATAACAGCAAGACATGACTATTTTCAGCCAGATAGTGAAAAGACACCATCTGTTTGGTAATCTGTTCTAGAATTTTCCTAGGATCTTTATCAAGTAGTTCTGAAATTTTGAAATTCACCTTTTACCCCATTCTGAAAAATGAGGCATTAGCTGATCGGTTCTCCAAAATTTCCTACTTCCCAAATTTCTGTGATCGCTGCAAAGATTACCCCTGGTTATAATTACCCATTATTCTATCGCCTCTAGTTATAATTTGTCGTTGGCCTAAAAACTGGTATTCATTCAAAGTGACAAAGTGAGGTCTAACTCTCTCGTCAGCTATTCAGGGCTCAGTTCTCTCTTTAGTACATGTTCATTCCATCTTTTTCATCACGAAAGTAATTTCCTCTAACAAAGAGCCTGAAGCTGAGTAGTTCTGTCACCTCAAATTGTTAGTCTTTCCTGGATTTCTTACTACCAATAATTCTTTTTCCAGAAAATCTTATTTTTGCTATCTTCAGCATACTTCATTTCTTCTATTTCTAAGCTTCTTGACAATCTTCTGACAAGACGTCTCCATTAATTTTTTAAAATTTGATATTGTGCACCTCTTTTATATACACCTGTCATTTGAGCACTGATGCCTATGCCACCACACAGGTTTCTTTAGATGCCTCTTCCCTTTGGTATCAATGTAGTTCCAATTGTATTGTCAGAATTCTACTAATTAGAATCACATATTCATCCCCACTGAATCATATTTTAAAAGTCATTGATTAT